TGAAAAGATGATTTTATGTGTGTGTTCTTGTTTTGTTATGGAATCAAGTTGATAGGATGATTGTAATTCACACATGATCTCTGTTGGTCGGGGGGGGGGGGGTCCTTCACTCAACTGAGGTGCCAGTCGCACTGCTAAGGACCAGAGTTTGCAGCTGGAATCATCCTCTTCCGTTGTCTGATCTATTCATTCAAGCATTGAAATCATTTGTAGACAGGATGCGACGGTCTATGCCAGTCGGCGATGTGGGTGCTGGGGAGGATCAAGCTCTTCCTTTGGAAGGATAGATATTTTAATTTCACATTCAGTGGGAGAACACAACCAATCAATAGACAAACAAATAGGACCACTGGCAAGTACTGCAGGGATTCGTCGTCAGGGTGATATGCTAGAAAGTCACCGAGAGAGGAAATGGGCCAGGGAAAGCCCTGAGACGTGCAGTACAGAGGAAGAACTTTCTGGGTAGACACATTTGCAATGTCAGTGAATCACAGTCAAGAAAAGGGTTGGCAGGTTTGAGAGAAAAGAAAGAGACTATTGTGTCTTAGACATGGAGAGTAGGGTGCGGGTGTGCAGGAGGGCAGCAGGACCAGGCGACCAAACCCGGGGCTCCTGTGGTCCATGCAGAGGATCTGAACTTCATTGCAAGTGCAACAGAAAGACACCGCCAAAGTTGCATCAGAGGAAACTCGTGGCCTGACCCTTTCTGAATAGAAGGTTCTGACGGCAAAGTGTAGAAAGACTGTTGTGTCACCCCAGCGGACAGGAGGGCAGCCCCATCTGAGCAGTGGCCATGCAGTAGAAGAGAAATGGTCTCATGAGCCTGTCACTGAGACGGAACTGACAGGTTGCTCATGAATGAGCTGTCCTGGGAAGGGAATGCATGTGGCCAGAGTCAACGTGGTAAAGGATGGAGGTTGGGTTGGAATGGGGGATGTTTGTCACCGTGAAGTTTGACCTTCAACCCAATTCAGCAAAAAGGTTCTTCCTGTACCTTGGCATAATTGTGATCGTTTTTTCTTTTGTTAAATAAGAATAAACCTGCCACTCATCCAGTTATACCAAGAGTCACACATGATGCAATCCTATTAAACAAATCATCGATAGAGAAGAGAGACAGACACTCATTATCCACCAGATTCCCCGTATGCTGGCTGCTTTCCCTCTCTCGCCTCAACTGCCGGTGGCAAACAAAATCACTTAAGTCAAGTGAACAGTTTTAAATGTACAATATTAAAATGTGTTTTTAGAAACTCCTTGGAACCCTCAGCCATTGTTAAAATGCACTCACTTTGACAGATGCTTTGGCACTTTTTTTATGAGGCTTTTCAACGCGTTACCTTATCGGGTGCACGAGATTTAGTCTGTTCTGCAGAGAAAAACAGACAAAAAGGGTCTCTCAGCACGAGTTACTCTTCTGTAAAGGTTATAGTAAACATGTCAATGCCTAATTAAGCAGAAAATTTTATCTGTATTGTGGGGGAGGCGTGTGCTGTCTGCGACTTTTCTTCTGGGGAATCCATTTAGAAGGACAAAGTAGATTGTGAGGTTGAGCTGGTCCGGAAGGCGCAGCTTCCAAATGTCAGCAGAGAGAGAGAGAGAGAGAGAGCGCACTTCTTTTCTCCCTGTTTGAAAATGACTGTATTGGCTGAGCAGATTTTGTGTGAGAGTGTGTGTGTGTGTGTGTGTGCGCGCGCGCGTGCACACCAATGTCTCATCAACACACACAACACGAAACCTGATTTAATTCTCAGCTTCCTAATAAGCATCAGGCACAGAGTAAGGCACAGAAAATACTAGATTAATAAAACCCAGAAACACCCTTAACCAACTGTGCGACAGAAAGCCCTCCTTCCCTCTCCAGAGTCTTCACTTGCTCTGTGCATGTACATATGTGTTGTAATCACACTGCACGTGTGCATGTGTATACATGTGCGTTGTTGTGAACACACTGTGTGTATGTGTGTGTACATGTCTGTTGCTGTGCTCGCACCGCCCCTAAGCAAGGGATCATATATCTCAGCCTGGAACCGCGCTACCTAGTGCCTTCTACTCAGTGTCTGTCGGGAGTAAGATCACCCTTTGCCTTTTCAAAAGTGACCCTATTTTGATTGATGAAATTTGTCTGACTTTTGAAGCATCTTACTTGGGTTAGTGACTACTTATTATTAATTTTTGTAACATAGATGCTCTCCTGGAACCTAATGGTGTAACTATTTTTGTAAACATACAGATTATTCCAGAGGAGAGAGATGTGGAGAGAACAACAAAGATGGCCTGACTCAGTAATTTGCTGGCTTTACACTGCAATTTCCTTGCAAGTAGAGACCACTTATTAATGGTTGTTTGACTAGACCTAGTACGTGTTGTTTCTTTAAATCAATTTATGCAACTAGAGACCAGCAATACCAATATAATGAAAAAATCCACTTGTGGGCTTGCTGAAGAAGCAACCCCACATCGATAGCAATAAAATAATGAACACAACTCCTTAACTCGTGCAGTGAATGCTCACGTCTTGTGTTATGATACCACAACCTTAAAATCATGGGCTCCTGGGCTGGAATTGCAGCTCAGTGGTAGAGCACTTGCCTAGCATGTGTGAGGCACTGGGTTTGATTCTTAGCATCACATATAAATAAGTAAAAATAAAGGCCCATTGACAACTAAAAAATTTTTTTTAAAAATCATGGGCTCCTGTATCCAGCATTCCCACAGTTCTCCCTCCTGAGGTGGTGATCTTTTTTTTTTTTTATTTATTTATTTTCATTAGGTTGGTGATACAAAGAGTCCAGGCCCCCTGGGCAAGACTGTAGATTCTCTCATGCAACAGATTTGGGTTCATGTCGGGACCCTGCAACCTTGGCTGTGTGACTTTGTGTGAATTCCTTAAGTTTCAGTTTCCCCTATCTGTGGAATGAAAATAATAATAGTACTTGTTTCATGTAGCTGTTAGGTAAAATGAAAAAATGTACTTGCAGTGATTAGCTTGGTTCCCAGGAGACAGTAAGTGCTCAGTTAAAATTCTTCATCTTCAGCAGAAAGCAATAAATAGAAGGGCACAGGGATGGAGGACAGAATAAAGGAGACTTTATTGGTGGGGCTCCTGAAAGTTAGGTCCCAGAATCATGAGATCTTTAAAACATACATTTCCAAGTTACTTCCTCTTTTGAACTGACTGTATATGGCTAAGGTTATACAAATTCGATTCTTTAGGAATATTTACTATATATAGAAAATATTCCTTGCTGTTTAGTAAATGATTTTATACTATTTCAGTGTGCACTTGATAAAGATATTGATAAAATTTTTTTGTCAACTAACAGTCAAAATCTCGTTTAGCCAGTTAAACAGAAGTTTGACTTTCTTTTCTTCCACGCCTCTTGTTAAGAAGTTAGTGGCTGTGGGCTAAGGTCTTCATAGATGACCTGCTCCCCTCAAGGGTTGCCCTTCTGGGGATGTTGAAGGCTGGGCTGACTGGTGGAGGTGGCCCCTGGTTCCAGCTGAGCTTGTCTGTTCATGGTGAATTTACTGCTCACAACTATTAACATAGCTGACCTTTTTTTATGGTTCTGGGTTACTAATAATGTCTTCTAAGTTCTACATATTCTGGTAGCTTATTGTGATTTTTTTAAAAATTAGTTATTAACATCTCAAAACCATTGTGCTTTTAAATATTCTTGCTCTTCGTCATTGCCTTAGCCTTTGGAGTTCCTGACTCCAGCTGCCTTAGTCCTCACAAACCCCCTTCTCTTTGAACTCTGTCTGCCTTTTCCCAGGACAGACCTTCAATGCAGGACTATCTCTCTTCTAAGCTTGATCCTTGGTGGATGTAAATAACAGCACCTGCTTCTAGGGTGTTTTTCCGAGTAGCCACCTGCCACCAAGAGAGAGATAGAAACTCATATGGAAGATATTGCATTAAGATCATGCAAACCTTGCAAATCCAAGGCTGAATCTCCTTTTCTTGGGTATATCTTTGGTTGCATTTTATCCACGTGGCTCTGAAAAGCCAGGTGAAGAAAATGAACCCATGGGCATAAATAGTCATGTTCTCCATCTCCATTGATGGATACTTGCCATTAATTCCCTTTGCACCACCCCCATGTCTTCATTTTCCCTCTGCAATTACTGGCCCTAAATCCTTTCCGAGAAGGGAAAGCATGCATCCCCAATAGCATTCTGCATCTACAAATCAACTGTATAATTGGCATCTCATGACGGGTACCCACAAATCACGGTGCATTTGAAATTACAGGAATAAGATCGAGATAGCATTTTAGCCTTGCCTGGAAAGGTCTTCATAAGACTGTTTGAGAATAATAGGATAGTCCCCAAACCTCCCATTCTAGCACTATTTGCCATTATTTAAAAATCATTATATTTGCTGAGCTTACATAATTTTTCAGCTATCAATGGAAGATTTTATTTGCATACTCCATAATCTCCCTTCCTGTCGCGCACCTCTCTGCAAATAAAAATGTTACAACAAAAAGGCACTGGCTATCAAAAATATATTGGCTGTGCATTCAAATTAGTTCGGAGCACTTAAAAATGGTACATTCAGATGAGTGTTTGCCAATATATCTAAGTGTTTGGGTAACTTTACCACTGAAACACCAAGGTCAAGTCTTAGTTTTCTCACAAGCCAACATCCTTCTCGGTTATGACTTTAATAGGATTTGCATTTCAATCCAGATTTCCTGAAAGTCATGCACGTTAATGAAACTGTCCCATTATAGGAATATTAGAATGATATTCCTTAACACAGAATCATTAACTTGGGATTCTAAGCACTTGGAGAGAATGATAAGTCTTGACACTTTTTTTTAAGGCAGTCCATGGCATAAAAGACACCATTTGGCTTTTCCTGTTTCCATCCCTGGCAGTTCATAAAGGTGTGAATGAAATTGCTGCCCAGTTCAGCATGGCAAGCGCTCCGCCTAAGTGGGGACATGGGAATGGAATGTGTCATTTCATCTCTTCTCCTTCTCTTGCAGGCTACGCCCAGGAGGAACAGCTAAAGGAAGAGGAGGAGATTAAAGAGGAAGAGGAGGAGGAGGAGGACAGCGGTTCAGTAGCTCAGCTTCAGGGAAGCAATGACACGGGGACAGACGAGGAGCTAGAAACGGGCCCAGAGCAGAAAGGCTACTTCAGCTGCCAGAACTCTCCTGGAAGTCATTTGTCCAATCAGGACGCAGAGAACGAGTCTCTGCTGAGTGATGCCAGCGACCAGGTGTCAGACATCAAGAGCGTGTGCGGCCGAGATGCCCCGGACAAGAAAGCGAACGCTCACCCCAAGCTTCCAAGCGAGGCACACAATTGCATGGATAAAATGACCGCCGTGTACGCCAACATCCTGTCGGACTCCTACTGGTCTGGCCTGGGCCTCGGCTTCAAGCTCTCCAACAGCGAGAGGCGCAGTTGTGACACCCGCAATGGCAGCAACAAGAGTGATTTTGATTGGCACCAAGATGCTCTGTCCAAAAGCCTGCAGCAAAACTTGCCTTCCAGGTCGGTCTCGAAGCCCAGCCTGTTCAGCTCCGTGCAGCTGTACCGGCAGAGCAGCAAGATGTGCGGGACTGTGTTCACCGGGGCCAGCAGGTTCCGCTGCCGGCAGTGCAGTGCTGCCTACGACACCCTGGTTGAGTTGACTGTGCACATGAATGAGACGGGCCACTATCAAGATGACAACCGCAAAAAGGACAAGCTTAGACCCACGAGCTATTCGAAGCCCCGGAAACGGGCTTTTCAGGATATGGATAAGGAGGATGCTCAAAAGGTTCTGAAATGCATGTTCTGTGGTGACTCCTTCGATTCCCTCCAAGATTTGAGTGTCCATATGATAAAGACAAAACATTACCAAAAAGTGCCTTTGAAGGAGCCAGTGCCAACCATTTCATCAAAAATGGTCACTCCGGCCAAGAAGCGTGTGTTCGATGTCAATCGGCCTTGTTCCCCCGATTCCACCACCGGATCATTTGCAGATTCGTTTCCTTCTCAGAAGACCGCCGCCAGCTTGCAGCTGTCCTCCAACAACCGCTATGGCTACCAAAATGGCGCCAGCTACACCTGGCAGTTCGAGGCCTGCAAGTCCCAGATCCTCAAGTGCATGGAGTGTGGGAGCTCCCACGACACCTTGCAGCAGCTCACCACCCACATGATGGTCACAGGCCACTTCCTCAAGGTCACCAGCTCTGCCTCCAAGAAAGGGAAGCAGCTGGTGTTGGACCCACTCGCGGTGGAGAAAATGCAGTCCTTGTCAGAGACCCCAAACAGTGACTCTCTGGCTCCCAAGCCATCGAGCAACTCAGCATCCGACTGTACAGCCTCGACCACGGAGTTAAAGAAAGAGAGCAAAAAAGACAAGCCAGAGGAAGCCAACAAGGGTGAAAAGGTCGTGAAAAGTGAGGACTATGAAGACCCTCTCCAAAAGCCTTTGGACCCCACCATGAAGTACCAGTACCTGAGGGAGGAGGATTTGGAAGACGGCGCCAAGGGCGGAGGGGACATCCTGAAGTCTCTGGAAAATACTGTAACCACAGCGATCCACAAAGCCCAGAATGGCGCCCCCAGCTGGAGCGCGTACCCCAGCATCCACGCGGCCTACCAACTGCCAGAGGGTGCCAAACCGCCTTTGCCCGTGGGATCCCAGGTACTGCAGATCCGACCTAATCTCGCCAACAAGTTGAGGCCCATCGCTCCAAAATGGAAAGTCATGCCACTGGTGTCTGTGCCCCCAAACCTGGCCCCGTACACTCAAGTCAAAAAGGAGTCGGAAGACAAAGACGAAGTCGTGAAGGAGAGTGGGAAGGAAAGTCCCCAGGAAGAGGCATCGTCCTTCAGCCACAGTGAGAAGGAGCCCTTCCCCAAAAGTGAACCGCCTTTGGAATCCAGAAAGGCGGAGCCGTGTCCCCTGAAGGAGGAGGACAAGCTGATGAAGGAGAGCTGTGAGAAAGAGAAGCCGCAGCCCGTGGAGCCCGTGTCTTCTCTTAGCAACGGATGCGCCCTCGCCAACCACACGCCGGCCCTGCCGTGCATCAACCCACTCAGCGCACTACAGTCCGTCTTGAACAATCACCTGGGCAAGGCCACCGAGCCCTTGCGCTCACCTTCCTGCTCCAGCCCAAGCTCAAGCACAATTTCTCTGTTCCACAAGTCAAATCTCAGCGTTGTGGACAAGCCGGTTTTGAGCCCTGCCGCCTCCAGACCGGCCAGTGTGTCCAGGCGCTACCTGTTTGAGAACAATGACCAACCCATCGACCTGACCAAGTCCAAAAGCAAGAAGGCCGAGTCCTCGCAAGCACAATCCTGTACGTCCCCACCTCAGAAGCACGCTCTGTCTGACATCGCCGACATGGTCAAAGTCCTCCCCAAAGCCACCACCCCCAAGCCTGCCACCTCCTCAAGGGTCCCTCCTATGAAGCTGGAAATGGATGTCAGGCGCTTCGAGGACGTGTCCAATGAAGTCTCAACTTTGCATAAAAGAAAAGGTCGGCAGTCCAACTGGAACCCCCAGCACCTCCTGATTTTGCAGGCACAGTTCGCCTCGAGCCTCTTCCAAACATCAGAGGGCAAATACCTGCTGTCTGACCTGGGCCCGCAAGAGCGCATGCAGATCTCAAAGTTTACGGGACTCTCCATGACCACCATCAGCCACTGGCTGGCAAACGTCAAGTACCAGCTTAGGAAAACAGGCGGGACGAAGTTTCTGAAAAACATGGACAAAGGACACCCCATCTTCTATTGCAGTGACTGTGCCTCCCAGTTCAGAACCCCTTCCACCTACATCAGTCACTTGGAGTCTCACCTGGGCTTCCAAATGAAGGACATGACCCGCATGGCCGCGGACCAGCAAAGCAAGGTGGAACAGGAGCTCTCTCGGGTGTCGTCGGCTCAGAGGTCTCCGGAAACAATAGCTGGCGAAGAGGATTCAGACTCTAAATTCAAGTGTAAGTTGTGCTGTCGGACATTTGTGAGCAAACATGCAGTAAAACTCCACCTAAGCAAAACGCACAGCAAGTCACCCGAACACCATTCACAGTTTGTAACAGACGTGGATGAAGAATAGCTCTGCAGGTATGGGTTTGCTCCCAGGCCGTGGCAACCTCAGCCTTGAGAGGAGCTGATTAAGGGAGATGGGTCTGCTTAGAGGCAGCCCGTGTCTCCTGAGGCCAAGCAGGACAGTAGCTCGCTGCAGTAGAATTATTTTTATGAAGGACCAGAACATGATAAATAAGTCCTAACCCTTCTCTCAAGTCCTCCAGTTTAGAGTGGGGGGATAGGATAAAAAGGACTTAGAGAGGCCACATCCGCCTATGTTGCTTCTAGGCCTTCATGATATATGATCCCCAAGGCCCAATCTCCCCGGGGCCACCAAGGCTCTCCCTCCTTGTAATGAATAAGTGCTAACTTTTCACGGGTCCATTCTACGCCCCCCCACCTCACCTTTCCAGAGCAATGCTAATGACTGACAAAATGGTCAAAAGATGAGCAATCAGGATGGGGGACTGCTAGGGGCAGTCACTACACAGAGATTTCTTAATCAGCTCATGAATAGCTTAAAGTTGTCTTTATTATTGTTACTTGTAATAATGCTTTTTGCAGCTTGCTTTTAGCAATTGCTACCTTTCACCTCCTTCCCTTGTCTATTTCCTACATTAATTTTCCTATGAAAGAGCATGTGCCCTTAAGGAGATGGTAGAAAAATACTCTTCTCTGCAGAGAATTGAGAGGAAATGAGAGGAGGCCTATTTTCCTCTCTCATCTCTTGGTTTTCTTGAGGGTAAACTATCATCAGAGTCCACCTTTAACAGAGAAAGATGGAATGTATGCCCTTGAGATTTTATTTTACATAAAGAAATAAATGGCTCTCTGCCCACTTCCGGTCAATGCTCACGGGGTCCTACAGCTTAAGGTAATTTGCATCAAGTATCATACAAGTTCATGCCTTGAGTAGTCACTGGATACTCAAACTACTTATGTCACCTCAGAAGAGAGGACAGAGACAAAGGTCAAATGCCTTGGCTGATATGTCGCACCAGCCATTTTCAAGCGTTAAGCATAAGCAAGGCTGGGTCATAGCAAATTGCTGCCATCTCCTTTTTTGCATTACCTCTACTTCCTTTTCTATCCCCTTCAGCACGACACCCCCACATGCTAAGGACCCTCACACATAATCAGACAGTCCTCCACTGGGGCCACATCCAACATAAGGACTCAACAGGAACTCAAACTTCTATGTCTACCAGTCCAGTTTAGGTCATGCTAGATTACAAATTTGCTCTTAATTAATTCACAATAAGGTATGGAAAGATAATAATAACATATGAGTTCTGGCCACCCCCTGTTGTCAGAGCATTTGTTTGGAAACAGGAGATTTTCAGATCAAGCTCCAAGGGTTTGGACACTATATCATTTCCAGGAAGAGAGGCATATTTGTATGGCATGGCTCTGGCCTCACCCCACGCAGGTAGGAAGATTTTCCTAGCATGAGGATGGCCCAGATGATATGAAAGGCTAACATATCTGATGCAGGACTCTTCCCTCAGTGAGAAGATCTGAGCTTCTGATTGGGGCTTATATGAAGACCATCTTTTTTGTTTGCATGTTTTTATCATAATAATTAAATGTTATTGGCAGATTCACATTTTGGTTTCCAGCATGATTTTTTCAGCTCATCCTATTGAATGAAAACCTAAATGCATCTATTGAATCCACAGGTGGGCCCAGGGCTCTGCAACATCCTATTTATTTGCTATATAACATATTACATTTTATGTAACTTGCTATTATGCTTTTCTGGTCCTTTAAAAAAAAGGTGGACATACACAGAATACCTAGAGAAAAGAAAGATATTTCAAAGCCAATTGCAGTGGGTCCAAACCAAGAGGACAAATAGGTGATGTTTATTTTGTGCTATAATAAAGACCAATTTTCCACCTGTTAGGTTTGTAATCATTTTTTAAACTGCGGTATGTAAATAGGGAGAAGGGAGAAAAAGAAAGCTCTCATCCATCCTCAGTCAAAATCTGAAAAGTACAATATCTGCTCTAGAGAAGTAAGAGTAAACCAATAATTTGGGAAAACATACACAAAAGGTACTTGCAAATCTGTTAAATACGTAGATAAGATAGCTACTTTCATCTCTCTAGGCATTCGTACAGAATAAACGTCTCTAATGTGGACCTTCAAAGCACCATGTTAAAGTATAATCATTCCAATCCAAAGCTCCATCCTTAAGTAACCACCATTGTGATATGAATCCGAGAGGATTGCAGAGGAACAGGTTGGACTCTTTGGGACTCATTTAAAGCGGTGCGAGTCTGTTTGTGGTGCCATGTGTGTAGAAAGACAGCGCTGGTACTGGGTGTGTTTGTGTCAATAGGAAAAACATCCCACTCTGCCTGAACGATTCCCAAGCTGTGTGGAGGTGGGGTCTCTGGGCTTTGCTCACCTGGGGAAGAATGCCTCGACCCTCAGGGTCCTCTTTTAGAATGACCTCTATGCCACACCTTGCCCACAGCTTAGAATTATGCATATTATGTTTTTAAATGGTCACAAAATGATAGCCCTGCTATCTGGATCTCTAATCTCAAGTCGGTTTGAGTGAGAGCACAAATGGTTGACAGTGACGTGATGTTTTAGAAGCATGTAGAGATGTTTGGGGAAATTTGGGAGCATTAACATATCTTTGTTTTCTGAAAGATATAAATTTTGACCTGAATTTTTCTTTCCTTTCTTGGACATATCTTAAATCCTGCAGAATGTTCTGCCAAATATTAAATTCAAATGTTCATTAAAAATTCATTAGAAAATATTAAATGTGCATCCCTATTTGAGGACATAAGTAATCTACAACTACTTCAATATGTATTTGTATACATCTTTAAAAGCCACATGCTCTCAAAGAATAGAAATTAAACAGAGAGTAAATCATTGAGACTAAAATGCATAAGGATTTGAAATTATAGTCGTTACCATGTAGTACAGCATACAAGTTTAACAGCACACCTAACCTGGAAATGGTTGGCAGAAATGTATTCTAGTCCAATAAGCTGCCACCTCTATTACAGACAGCTTGATGGAAATACATGTTCAGGGCCAAAAGCACATAAGGTTGCCAGATAAAATACAGGAGGGACATCCAGTTAAATCTTCATTCCAGATAAATGACAAATGTATTTTTAGTATAAGGAAGTCTCAAATAATGCATGGTCCATACTTATATTTCAAAAAGCATCCATTAGAAGGGGAGGTACTGAGGAATGAAATTGACCAAATTATATTGTTATATTGTGTGCGTGTACAAATATGTAACAACTAATTCCACTATTATGTATAATTATAATGCACCAATAAAACATGAAAAAAATCATTTATTGTTTATCTGAGACTCAATTTTAACTGAGCATCCTGTATTTTTATTTGCTAAATCTGGCAACCCTTACAAACGCTTAGATTATGGCAGCCTAGCAAGAGCCGAACAGGCTGGACTAATTAACATCTGTAAGAGAGATCAACCGTGTCTATATTCATTAAATAAGCACTCTTCACTCCCTCCATCCCTCCCTCCCTCCTTCCTTCCTTTTTTCCTTTCCTTTCTCCCTCCCACTTCCTTCTTTCCTTCCTTCCTTCCTCCACTCCCTCCCTTCATCCCTCAACAAGTAGCCATTGTACTTTACTATGCACCAGATTCTATTTAGCAATAAAAACATAATAGTGAACCAGCAATCTTGCCATCCTAATAGCAAACTGTGCCAGGGCTTGCGGCAAACATTTACGAAACATTATTTCACATGATTCTCACAAGCAACCCTATAGAGTAGAGGTTGATTCAAACACATATGGAGAAAGAAAGGGGAGCAGATAGATTCTGTACACATTTCTCAAAGTCCCACAGTATCTGAGCCTCACTCATTCCGACCTAGAAGGCTATCTTCCACAAAGTAAACTAACTACCAGGGTGAGAGACCACCTCGTCCTGGCAGACAGACAGCTCAAGGGCAGGAGCTGAGAGGGCACACAGGAGGGACCTCTGCCCATCCCAGGGAAGCCGGCATGAAAGTGGTGGTTTCAGAGCATCCTTTGGGAAGCATGCTGACTAGGAAGGCCACCCAACCTGACTTCAACTCATCCAATTCAAGCCTTGCCCAGTTCAGCATCTATAAGATGTGGGCATAACACCCCTGTCCTAGGAAGGCTGGGAGAATCTAATAGATGCATGTACTTATTTTCCAAAGAGTCTGTTACATAGTAGTTTCACACATTAAAAAAAAAATCTACATGGGGTCTCCACAGGCCTTACCGTGTTCCAAAGCCTTACCTGAAGTGTGCAGAATTTGAAGCCTTCTCAGGCTGAACCAATTAACACCTAAGGAGGTACCCCCTTGAATGCTTCAAGCTGCTGTCTGACTAAGAGAACATGATAGCAAAAGTACCGTGCATTGGCCTCTTGCTGGAAGCCAGGCATCACTATGCATAGCACCCTAGTTTTGCAGAGAGGTAACCTGAAGCTCAAAGAGTTTCACAATTTGTGCAGGAACTTTGACACAGTAAGCACAGAGGTACGATTAGAGCCCATGCCTTGCCAATGCTCATCAACTTTCTCCTGCCTCTTGGGTTCCTCCTCCTCTGAGGGTTCCAGGTGCTACCCAGGCCAGATGAACCCCCAGCACTCAGAGAATAAGGCTGGAGAAGGTGGACAAGAGTTGGAGAATCTGGACCGAGCTGAGGCTCCAGATGTGAGTCTGAGGCAGCCATGCCTCACTTAATGACAGAGACGTTCCGAGAAATGCATCTTTATGCGATTTCACCACGTGTGACATCGCACAGTGAACAAGCTAAGACAGCAATGACGTCATTAGGCGATACAGTCTCGTGGAACCACCGTGGCGTATGGAGTCCAAAAGTCAGTTATGTGGCACTGACTGTATTGCAACCCAGGACCCTGGGGCTGGCCCGCAGGGTGAAGCAGAGAACCCCTGTTCTTTTTATTTTAATTCCCTTGTTCGGTCAGGTCATTACGCATTCACCACGGTAATGTCTAACCAAGACGCGACCCAAATCTCCCTGAAAAT